CCAAGTAATGCAAACTCTGTCGTCCCCACAGCGAGGTACAGGAAGAGCTGGGCAATGCACGCACTCAAAGATATTGTCTGCATCCCAGGGAGCAGCAATCCCCAGAGCATCATGGGGACAGTTATGGTCGTGACCAGGATCTCCAGGACAGAAAGGTGGCCAAGGAAGAAATACATGGGGGACCGCAGACGTTTATCAACAGAGACAATCATGATGATGACTGTGTTTCCCATTAATGTCACTAAGTAGAGGAAGAAGAAGATAGCAAAAAGGACATGGTGTAGTTCTTCGGAGCCAGGGAAGCCAAGGAGATAAAATTCAGTGGCACTAGATTGATTCTCCAACATTTAGTTCTGAGCCCTTGTTCCTTGTGATATGTAGGCAGCAAAAGGGAGACAACACTGCTTTTAATATCAAAAGGATTAATGACATCTCTCAGTTGAAGAAACATTCCCCTCCTGCTCTTTGACTTTACAACTCTACTATTTTCTATACAAGGTTGATGTTAAACATTTTGTAAAAAATACATATTATATGTGAAGATAAATGTGTAAGTACAAGAAGATGAGTACCAGTTACCAACACCACACAATAAACATGAAATGCCCCTCTCACAGAATGCACCCTTGCCTCTCAGTGCACTGGACATCCTGCCTCCAACTCTGCTCTGACTGGCCACCCTGCCCACTTCTGTGATCACAACCTGCTCATTTATAGCACCACGCCTTCCATCTTGAGTGGAATTAAACTTTCTCCTCTTCCTATTACATTCCCATCCTGCAATGTCCTGCTGCATTTCAACAAACATAAGTATTTCTAGCCAATTCCACAAAGACATGGTTACTCTTTTTGTGTGTGTGTCCTCTAAATTTAGCCCCATTTGCACTTTGTTAATTTAAAAGTTTTTACTTTAGTTCTATTTATCATTTTGGGGATTTTGTTGGGAAGTGGAGTCTATCNGTCTTTTGGTTGAACACAGATTATTTGATGATGATAATGATTATGAGGCAGCTCAAAGATGAGCAAGTCCTTTCTGGATTATTCCAGTCATAGAATAGGCTAGTTTCTGAATAACTGACAGCAGCGTTTCACTCCATCCCGAAGGGCCTCTATAACTTTGTCATTCAGGAGGGTGAAGATGAAAGGGTTCAGAAAAGGGGTCACTACAGAAACCATCAGGGACACTGCCCTGTTGTACTCGGCTGCCTGCGTTTGCTTGGGTCTCATGTAGAGGAACAAGCAGCTGCCGTAGCCGATCACGACACAGGTGCAGTGGGAGGCGCAGGTGGAGAAGGCTTTCCTCCGGCCAGAGGCCGCGGGGATCCTGAGGATGGTGGAGATGATGTAGGTGTAGGAGACAATGGTAGGGATCAAAGAACCAAAGAGAACAAAAACAGCCATTAAGAAGAGGATAAACTCTGTGAAAAGAGTATCATTGCAGGATAGTTTGAGCAATTGCCCTCGGTCACAGAAAAAATTGTCTACAACATTTGATTTGCAGTAAGTGAGCTGAAATGTGGCGTAAACTGGCCAAATCTGAAAAAGGAACCCAAACACCCATGACACGATTACTACCAAGTTGCAGGTGCGGTTGTTCATAATGATGTCGTATCTTAAAGGGTTACAGATGGCCACATAACGGTCCACAGCCATCGCTCCAAGTAATGCAAACTCTGTCGTCCCCACAGCGAGGTACAGGAAGAGCTGGGCAATGCACG